TCCTTTCACTAGATGTGAACTAATTCATGAGGTCCTTTCACTGGATGTGATCTAATTCACGAGGTCCTTTCACTAGATGTAAACTAATTCATGAGGTCCTTTCACTGGATGTGATCTAATTCACGAGCGGGTCCTTTCACTGGATGTGATCTAATTCATGAGGTCCTTTCACTGGATGTGGACTAATTCACGAGGTCCTTTCACTGGATGCGATCTAATTCACGAGCGGGTCCTTTCACTGGATGTGATCTAATTCATGAGCGGGTCCTTTCACTGGATGTGATCTAAAAGCGCAGTTGTTTCCGAGATAAGGCGCGTTTCACTCTTCGAGATAACGCACACTTGCGCCTTTCGTATGAAGATTTTAATTATAGTTGCATCACTTTCGTGACCGTCAGACTTCACGAGTTTCATCATAGGAGTGGTGGATTTGGAGGAGTAGGAATGGGCTTGGCCATAAATATTTTCTAATTTTTTTCAATTATGAAAATATGCTTACCAACGAAAATGATAATTTAATTTACGAACGAATCTTTCCTTTTATCATGAAATTACTACCAGGATCTTCTACTATATTCATGGTCATAGAGATGCCATAATTTGCGTTCCACTCCAGACCTTGGAGTATCCCTCAACCTGATTTAGTAGTATCATTTAACCTGATTCAGGAGTATCCCTTACCTGACTGAGCTACGAGTATCGAGATCTCAGAAAGGAGGCAGGGAAGGTGGAAGGAAAGGAAAAACAGTCCCCTCTCGAACACTCCTCTGTTTCTATGCAGGCTAATGGACTAGACCAAACTTACAAAAGTCTCAACTCAAAAAAGGTTTGAAGCAGCAGTCCTAAAGAGGCCTCCTCTGTTTTCAGGTCTGCATGACCTCTATCGTTTTGAAACAAGAAAACTTCTAGAAAGTTCCATTTTAAAGTGGATTGGGGAAGGAAAAGCCTGCGAAAATTCAAAACGTCATTGTTAGCAAGCGCGCGCTTATTATCAATGGTATATATTTTCATTTGCTGGCCTGGAAGTCCATAATCTAGAGAAAAGTAACACCTCAGTTTTGCAAATTTTCTTGATTCTGATGGCCAAAATGTTTTTCTCAGATCAGCTGGAATACCAGAGAAATAAAACCTGAAAAGGCCTTTTACAGAACAAGTTTCTTCATTGTCAGATCTAATTTTAAAAAGGCATGGGGTTTAAGCATGTTGGTTTTGTGGTGCCAAGTCCAGGAATCACATCTGAGACCCTAGAGTTTAGAGCTTTCTTGCTTTTTCTTTTTAAAGATAAATCTATTTTCTATTTATTTGATAAATGTAAATGAAGATACCCGCTTGCAGAGTTCTGGTGATATGGATGGAGACATTTCAGAAGGTGAGTCCGTCTACCCTCGTTCAATCCAGTGTACATTTGTAACGAGGGTCTACACTGGATTGAAAGAAGGTAGGTAGTCTCGCCTTATGAAAAGTCTTCATTAATATCATCAGAACTCCTCAAACAGGTATCTTCAATTACATTTATTCATTTAGAGCGCATGCAGTAAAACCATGAAATAAAAACAAAGTTGATACTGACAAATAGCACTATTTAGGAAGTAATAGTTGCTATCACTCAACCAGAACATTTATCATACAAAGACAATACACAAGAGACCATTTGTGTCTCTTGTTTAATAAATATTCTGGTCGAGTGCTAGCAACTATTAGTCACTAAATGGCTACTATTTGTCAGTATTAACTTTGTTTTTGTTTCATGGTTTTACTGCATGTGCTCTATGTCAGAGTCTCTAGTAAACTTTGATTCATGATTTATTTGATAGTCTTCCTTTGAACGTGATTACAAATTACTGTTTTGCACCTTGGCATCAAAATTCATATTTAATTCATGAAGGATTTCTATGGAAATGGCAAATGGCTGTGTATCCATGTATTGGCAGGAAAATGGTACATCCCCCCCCCCCCCCACCACACACACACCCCATGGTCAAGACCTTGCTAAGCTATAATGTAAGAGGAGAAAACAACCCCATGGTTGAAATTTAATATCCAAATAAGATTTACAAACTAGCTTTAAAGCAATAAAGTAAAAATGATCACAAACACATATTTAAACAGTCATATAGTATTAATAGGGTGCAGAATATAGAGTGCATGCCATATATTTATGAAACAAAAGCAAAAATGAATTCTCTAATAATTGCAGCTATTTTTGTACGAAATAGTGGATACTACTGGAGCAGAAATTTGGAAAAGCAAATACCTCTACGCGTCTTTGTTTGGTTCATACCCGAGTGAACTCTTAGCTATTATGCAACTAAATTTTTACATGGCTAGTAATCGTTTCATGGATATATACACTCTAAATCCATGAAAAAGTATGAAACAACTAAGAAGTGCTATACAGTGCCAAATCTTTTGTTGCTTATGTGATATTTAGTGCTAATTAGTAAGTACTTTTTCTTTTCTTTTTTTTGTCAGCATACTAATATTACAGTGTGGGTACTCCAATCAGGACCACTACGACAAATATTTACACAAATTATCCAATCACATTTGAGTATTCAAGGTACATTGACATGTGCAACAGTAGCCATGCAACTTCTTACATGAACACTGCTCTGCTGCAAGGTTGGACAAAATAATGCTGCATAGGTTACATATAAGCATTGCCCCTGGTGCAACAACTTTTCATCATTGAAAGGACTTTAGGGAGCTTCTTTTTGCCAAGTTTGTTGCCAACACTAAGGTAGTGCAAGCAACATATACTTTGAAAATTGCAACTTAACAAGTTGCACAACTTTTCCCTGTAAAGGCCGAATTAGACAGTATGATTTTCGCCTATAACCATTGCATGCAACCTGCTCACGCCATACTTACAACATGACTTAGGTTAGATCCACATGCCTACAACAGACTTGAGTGAGTTGTAGGACAGAATTACATGACACAACTCATGTCGTAAGTATGATGTGAGCAGGTTCCATGCGATGGTTATAGGCGAAAATCGTACCGTCTAATTTGACCTTAATCTCAACTTCAACAATAAAATAATGATAAACAGAAAGTGTAAGATAAAAAGGTTGAATGGTTTTGAAACCTTAGTAATGTTAGTAATAGTTTAAGAGAATGTTTGAGCAGCAGCTTTGCTTGGAGTAGCATCTATTTGTAATTCAGACTACAAAAATTGTGCCATCATTCTTGTTAATGTCATCAACATCTCTTTATTTACGTCAGATCTATTCAAGTCCTGCATCTATCATGAATCCAATAAAGGTTGTTATATTCCTGATTGGATGAGTGATGTAGCTAAGTCCAGGCTGCCCTAATTATCTCTGATCTGATTATAGACTTCAACTGTTCTAGCGAGTGACCTAGGTGTAAAATAAAGACACTTGAAAACTTAGATAATCTTTTTACAAAAATGTACTTCAACAATACAAAAATATTATATACATTATGTTACAGTATGAATTATTTGATTAAAAATACTTTACATTTTGTTTTGATTTGAATATTTTTTTAAAGTAATAATCAAAACTATTTCCAATTAAAAAAATAACTAGCCTGCTTGTTTTTGTTTTATGCTGTCCTGCAGCAAAAATAGGCTGACTTTGTCCTTTCCATTGCTCTGTTAAAAACTTTTAAACATTACAAAATAATGATCATAATATGAATAAGATATTTCACAATTCACTCACACATTTTTCCTTTTCTTAGTATTCAAAACTTCCATTTCAATTTTATACAGTTCACAACTAGTTATTTAATTCACTACCATTCCTTGGTGAATTCACTAGTCCTATTTACATGGGTAAAATCTATGCGATTTATCATTATTATTATTATTATATAATATTGTCCATTGGTTTAACATACCTTAATAAATAAGTTATCTAGTAAGGCCGATAGCCTGCACTGCCTCCATAACTGGGACTGCTACCATATCCTGAACTGCCGTTTGCTCCATAATTTTTCATTGGTCCATAACTGGAGGGTGCCTGGCTATACATCCCCATTCCACCATACCCTGCATCGTACGTACCATAACCTGGGCTGTATGCAGCATATGGACTTTCATAGCTGTATGCAGGTGTACCTCTATAGGTACTGTAACTATTGTATGCACCAGCGCCATATCCATATCCATTGCCGTAGGCTCCATAACCACTACCCATGAAATTACTGGCATATCCAGGATAATAATCATTTGTGTGTTGTGCCCCTCTTGAGTAACCTCGCCCTTGTCCCCTTCCACGCCCTCTTTCACCTCTACCTCTTGGCTCTGCCTTTTTGATCTCTACTTTCTTGCCGTTCATGTCAATCATTTTTAAACAAAACAGGGTGTCTGCGTCATCTTCAGAGGGTAAGTCGACAAAGCAAAAACCACGGTTCTTTGTTTCATCATCTTTCCTCATGAGCAATACAATCGATTTTGGTTCCTTGCCTATTTTAGAATTAATCAATTCTTTGATGTCATCCTGTTTTGCATCTTCTGGTAAGCCTCCAATAAAGATCTTATTTGTGCTAAGCTGTGCGAGGTCGTTGGCCGAATCTTTTGGGATTGCTCTTTTTACTTCACATTCTTTACCATCGATAATATGGGGTTCACCTTTTGCTTTCATGTCAAGAATCTCTGTTGTTTTTCTGTGGTCTTTGAAAGTAACATAGCCAAATCCTCTAGATTCCCTTGTGTTGCTGTCTGTTATCACTGTACAGTCACTCAGCTCACCAAATTTTTCAAAGTACTCTTTTAGGCTATCTTTTGTAGTCTCACGGTTAAGACCTCCAACAAAGAGCTTTGATAGTTTTTCTTCACTTGTCGAGTCCATATCTAGAAGACAACAGTGTATGGTTATAGCTTTGACAGAAACACTGCTATTGTGTGGTTCCAGAAAATATCCATACCCCTATCACGGAGGGAAATTTTAAAAGGACCCTCTTACTCCCAGGAACTTCCAATTTTCTTCCATACAAACTTTGTAATTTTGTTCTTTCTCTGACCCCACTCCCCTCCAAAATTTGCAATTTCCTATGTGCGTGGGGTATGGATATTTTACCGCAGCTAGACATTGGAACATTAAGGGCAGTCATCTCAGTCGTCTATTTATTCATAGTATGAAGTATTTTTAGACCAAAATGATAATAATAATGATAATGATTTATATAGTACCCTTTCTATATGGATATGATCAAAGGTGCTTTACATCGAGTTGTGAATGTCAGATTGCTTTTATGCAGTTTACAAGCATGAGAGATGGTTAGTATGAAGTGTAGACACTGAGGGTGGTCACTGCCAGGGTTTTTATACGTCCTCAGTGGTTCTTTTCAAAAGAAAGTGATGCAAATGGTCCGTCTTGTTAGAGAATTGAATTCACCAATCACAACAGACAAGATCACTACATATCTTTGGATACAAAATAGCCTTAATTGCCCCCTAAGCTATTTGTATGTATTGATGGGTTGCAAGCATTCCCAAGGGAGTCAAAAGACAAAAGCATGGCGGCCATTGTGGTGCCGTTAACAATGGATGCTAATAAGAAATCTTTTGTTTAATGGCACCAACGCTCCCTCGAGAGGCCGCAATGACGTAACGTGCAATCGAAGAATTGACTAGACCCACATAGATTGCTCAATTGACTTCCATAGAAACCTCGATTCACTGAAATCAAGGTTTTAGCCATGCATGCTATGCCATGCAGAACAGGGAAGAGAGTAGCAAGGGGTAGATACATAACTATCACAGCATGGTACAGCACATCCACTTTATGTTTCTTCAACAATATTGTGACAAATTTTTAAATTATGAGCAAATAAACATGTAATGTATTGCACTGTATCCACACCACAGTTATATGAACTTTTCTTTACTGTTCAAACTGAGGAAAAAACTATTCCATGTAGGTCTTTTAGGAGAAATTTATACATCAAATAATAAGAAAATATGTTGTTTTAATCAGTTCAAATTTTTTGACAACCAAAGACAAACGAAAACTCGAAATTTCAAAAAAAAACTTAAAGCGCTTTTAGGAAAATAAACATTTACAAAATTATTTAAAAGTCGAACCCAATTTTGGTGAACTAACTGCAGCGTTACTTAGACAATGACTCTATTTATCTGATGTATGATGCTTATGCTGAAGTCAATCCCGTACCATCCGAGATTGTTTTGAGCCATCGTGCTAAGAAATCAAGTTTTAAAATGACTATAACAACAAAACTATACTTCTAAATGTAATTCAAAGCTTATTTTAAAGTTTTACGAAAAAGAGAGACACTAAAGTCAAATGGAATGATTAACATCGAGCAACTCTCGTATGACGTTCACTATGACTTTTCAAATTCAAACTTCGGATAAGTTTGGGGTTGAATGACATCTCGAATTTACAAGGCATACATGTTCTTATGACATGTCTTACATGGCATTATAAACTTTACTATTGTATCTCTATAAATTATGTAAGAATTAAAAAAAACGAAAATTCCTAATAACGCTCGCAACCGTCGAAAATACTCACTTTTTTGGAGTCCAATGACGTTTAGGAATGAACTTTAAAAGACGTATTTACGGACTTATGTTATGTGACCACTCAAAGTTTTTGTCTTATCGTCTGCTTACCTTAAATGGCGGTTCACTAGTTTTAAATGTGGAAATACTTCTAAATCTTTTGTGTTTCCTTTGACGATATGAAAGGACGCGCAAAGCTACATGAAACACGAGGATCACGATCGATTTACCACAGGGATCCCACTCCTCAAATATTCTCATAAAAACAAGAAAAACAAAAAAATATAACCACTTTTCTGGAAGTTTATTTGTTTTAACCTTGATGTAACCACTTAGTAGTGATCTTTATACAAAGAAAATTATAATCACTGGTTTTAAAGGCGTAGGAGAGTTACAGTGTAACAAATTAATGTAGCTTGAAAAATCCGATGCATGTGACAACTTGAAAGTTGGTAAAATGACTCATTCACTTCCATCCAGTTTTATTTTTATCACTGGATTAGGGAGGGATGGGGAGGGGGGTAACATGTACCCCCTAGATATCAACATTTACAAGCATTTTACTGAGTACATGTGCTAACAATGATTTATTTGGCAGGAAAAAGCCAGTGCAGAGAAGTATGCCAACACATTAAATATGGACATAGTTTTGCATGTTGCACTGAAATAAATTCATGCTGGATTCTTGTGGATTTGGTGGAAGGATTTGGCGGGAGATTCTATCAGGTAGATAGGAAGGATGGTACTTAAAAATGGTGATTTATGGGCCATTGAAAAAAAGTGAAAGCGTATCAAATGCTGGCACAAGGATTTTTGAACGCTTTCTCCCAAAATTGCCTCACTAACATGCACACCCACAACACTTTTGAGAACAATCATCATATCTTGGAATCAAACTATTTTTCAAATGATGGGGGCTATTTTTACTTGTAGCCATGAAACTCCTTTCCTTAAAAAGGGAAGTCCCTCACCCCTTTTATCCTCTCTCAACTTAAAATGAGTTATCAAAATAATACTTGTTTATTTAAGTTTGCTTTATTTATTATTTCTTCACTTGTTGTTGATAATACAAATACATAAGCACTTTCACAATGCACATGGGATGGTATAATACTCCCTTTTACAGTTCAGTTATACCATGAATAAGAGTTCCAAGTTGAGTTTGGAGTTTCCATGCAAAGCAAAACTTTTGTTTATCATGCAAGGCAACTACAACCTTAGTTCTGAACATTATTCATGGTCACTTAATGGAACTGTAAAAATGAAGTATGTTAATGTTGTTTATTTGGGACATAGATATATTGACAAGAGTTTAACTCAGACATTTTGATGGCATGACTCTAGAACTTTTGGAACAATATTTACATAAGAAAATGTGATTTTTGTGCAAGTCATAGATTTCCTGACACTGGTATCTTAACTTGAATGACGTCTATAAAATGTTTCAAATGCACTTGACCCTTTATTAGTTGTACATATTTTTGGGTGGCTTCCAAAATTTTGTCCACCACCCAAGTACCTGAGATTCTCTTGTCAGTGCCCAAGGAGTATGAGGCCAGACGAACACTGCAAGTATTACATCTGTAAGAGCTGTCCCAGATAATCTCTTGAGCACCTCATCATCTGTCCATGAGACACTGGAGCTACAGCACATGGCAAAAAAGAGTAGTTTGATCCTACACTGGTTGCCTGATGTCCTTCAATGCCTAGAAGCTGAATTACTAATGCAATGTAATCAGCATTAAATAACAGAGAATCTACAATCCACAGGCAGCCCAATATAAGGGGGTATGGGCTAAAATTGGTATATATAAGATACTAGTAAGAAGAAAAAAAGTTTTTTTGGGAGACCATAGCCCTCCCTGTCACTTTCCTGGTAGAGGGGGGTAATATAAATGCAGACACTAATAGTGTTTATTAGAAAGATACTTTCATCTCTCCCAAGAACATCAATCCCACACTCATGAAAAATGTTGTTTTACAAGGGTGGCAGCCTCTTAATCGCCAGGGGCTAAGAGACCTTTAGTCTCCCACGCAGCCGCTATTAGTTTCGTCATGCAATGCTTAGGGGAGTGAGCGTGCCGTGACTACACTATTAGCGGCTGCATAGGAGACTAAGAGACCTTTGGCCCTCAGTCCATTATTGAATTGGAATACAATAGTTAGTTAGGGAAGAACCAACAAGCAACTCGTCACATGCTACTGCGTCATGGACACGAACCTAGGTCCTACTGGTTAGAGGAGAAAACTCTCATCACTATGGCAACAAAAAAATCACAGATTCCACTAGATTTTTGTTAAAACTCTCACTTATTTTTATATGATATTGTTTCACTCTTTTTTCTCATCTTTTACTTTCCACTGGACTGACTGAAATACTAAACATTATCCTCTTATCCTTGTCTCTCATTTTTTCATTTTTGCAGACAAATGCATTTTCTTATATCAAAAGCTGTAAGATTTGCAATTCGTTTAAAGGTTGGTCMCCCCCCCCCCCCCCATGGTCTTTGAAAGAATAGTGTTTTCCACTTTCTTGTAGAGTCTATGGTGGCATGCCCTTCTATGGCACTGTCTCTTACCATTATGTAGTAAGTGGACACCTTGGGTGGCAGGTTCGAGTCCAAGCTGAGCCACATTGTAAGTGGAGCTCTTCTTGTGTTCTCTCCCTTAACAATAGGGGTTTTCCAGTTTATCTCCCTTGTAGTAATCAAACATGTGAGTCAAGTGTTGTAAATAATGAATGTAGTGGTAGTGCATGTGGCACAAACTAATCAAAAGTTGCCCTTACAGGGAGGAATAGTTGAAAATATGTTTTTCTCTATTCACTCAGCTGAATAGTACCAAGCAAAATGCTGGTAGACTTTGTCTTACTTACCTTAATGGTCCATGAACTGCACCACCATCTCTTATGGTTCTCCTCACTACTATGGGGAGCCTGTGTACTTACCTAACACAAACAAATGTAGAAGATTTTTATGTATTCATGGTTCACTAGTCAGTAAACTCTTCTGCTACTCAATAATTCTTGAATTTTCTGATTTAAGAAACTTCTGTAGTCAAACAGGCACTGATTGGCACCAAACATTGTTTGAAATCCAAAAGTTCATTTTCAACATCAATAACTCTATGAAAATAGCATCTTCAAAATATCCATCAAATTTGGAATGAGTTCAGTTTGTGAAACAATTTCATTGAAAAAGCCCAAATCCCTGACCTTTAGAATTGTAAAGTCTTCTGCTTACAACCAATTTTGTAGAAGTGCAACCCTTAAAGTTTGATGTTTTGTTTGCCAACTTGCATTTCAATGACCATCAATGAAGGAATTGGATTGAAAACACTAAAATTGCAAAGCGAGGGAAATTGTGGTTTGAATTAAAACTCTAGATCCTTTTCTTCTTCTTAGACAGTTAAGCCAGCTGACTGATGTTTTAAACAAAAACTACTTTGGGACTGTTTTTAAAACGAACTTACAGACCAGACATGGAAATATCTACAGTCAAAGATTATTACACGGTGGTGGGAGTGTTGAATGAGGTGTAGTGAGGAGACCCAAATGTTTCCAGTAGACTGGAAGACCTTGATCTTTGCACATCACTGAAGAGAAAACATAAATCAAACCCAAAAATACATAAAAACACAAAAAAACTTGATCGTAATACTGGTAGCTATTTTCCAACTTTTCAACATGAATGCCAAGACACGTACGGCTAGGAGTAACCAAAAATTGAAATGAATTCCGGATAGGTACATCCCTAGACTATTTCTTCTTTTTTCATATTTTCTTACAAGGTATTGCGAAGATTAGATCAGCAATGGATAAGATACTGAAGAGCTTTTGAAGGGATCGGAGGGGACTCCAAAAGATTAATCTACTCAAAAAAAAATGTCGAAGTTCCAGCATATGTTCCTGTCGATCTCATTTGAAACCAATATATATATATAATACACTGAATATGGCAAGCCTGACTTATGATGACTTTATTTAAACCTTACTTTAATACGTATACGCAACTAAACTTATCTAAATGGAAAATTTCTTGAATAAAAACGTAATAAAATGCATTACACTATGAGACAATATAATTTATATAGAAAAATGTCCTAAGTCTTCATCTACATCTGGCCTAGGATTCTTCTGGGCATGCTGATTGACGACGCTTCTGACGAAGTTTAGATGCTGTCCCTAGGTTGTTGCTAGGTCCTTGAAGTCTTAACTTAGCCCTGATCCTAGGTAATCTGACTAAGACTGCAATCATTCTGTGCTAGACACCTAGATGTAAGACAGAAATACCGATCCTATCAGATCAACACTATGGCAAGTCCTTAGATGTTACTGTAAAACTGAAAAAACAAGCATAATAAACAAATCTAAACTAGGTACTTTTTTCTTTAAATTGTTCCAGAATTTGAAAATTTGCCTTACCTTACTTGAAATATTATGAATAAATTTTTGAAATACAAAAAATAACAAGCAAAAAATTTAATACTATTAAAAAGACCACCAGGACAATAAAATGACTTTTGATAAGCAAAAATACTATCAAAATCAAGGGAAGAAGGGAAAGATAATCATATCTCAAGACTCACCTTGTGAACATTTAGTAGGGACGATAGCGTGCTCCATGGCCACCTCTTCCACCATTGGATGGAGGATACGAACTCTGTCCATACATACCCATACTACCACCACCATAACTATCATACGGGTAACTTCCTCCATAACCTCCCCCATACCCATCACTATATCCCCCATAACCACCACCACCATAGCTATCATAGCTACCACCACCATAGCCACCGCCGCCGCCCCCATAACTACTATATCCACCACCCCCATATCCACCACCACCACTGCCATATCCAGCACCTCTGCTTCGGCCATAGTCTCGACCTCCACCACCGCCGAAAGATCGTCCTCCTCCCCGACCTCCTCGGGGACCACCACTATCGCCACCACCACTACCTCCCTTAGGTTCTGCTTTCTTGATTTCGACCATTTTCCCTTTGAGTTCGATTTTCTTAATGCAGCATAGCTCGTCGGCATCGTCTTCATTTTCCAACTCCACAAAACAAAACCCACGGTGCTTATCTGGCTCGTTTTTCTTTTTGATCAAGTCTACTAGTACGGGATTGGCTTCTAATACATCAGCTACAGCGTTGTGAATGTCTTCATCGGTCGCACTATCTGGTATTCCTCCAAGAAACACTTTCTTGGTCTTCTGATGCGCTGTGCTACTGGAATCGTCTCGGGGGATTGCTCGCTTCACCTCGCACTCTTTGCCATCGATTACGTGAGGTCCCTGCGTTCGCTTTACCTCAAGCACTTTCTTCGTTACTCTGTAATCTTTGAACGTAACGTAACCAAAACCCCGGGATTGTTTTGTTTCACTATCACGAATAACCACGCAATCAGTTAGTTCGCCATATTTTTCGAAGTACTCTCTCAAATTGTCGTCTGAGGTTTCTCGATTCAATCCACCAACAAATAGTTTCTGTCGTCTCTCTTCACTGCTCATTTCTGCCATCTTCACTAAAAACAAACGAAAAATACTTGTTAACAAACCTAGATTCAATATTTAGCCTTAGAATACCTCAGGAAGCTTAAAAAACTACCTTAAATATCGTAGTTCTGGTTTAAATCTTAAAACTTTCGTTCAAAATGGAGGACGCTGATGAAAAGAATGAAGGAAGTGATGCCAGGTGTCATAGGGAGCACGTGTGTATACTAACCATTCCATTGGCCCGAATTCTATGCTCATTTTCATTGGATGACTCTCTTTTTGATTGACAGCTGAAAGCCATTCAGAATTAATTTTATCTGTCACTCTTATTACGCCTGAAGATCAGCTGTAATAAATTAATTGAAAAGATGCTTTCAAAATACTTCATAAGTTAAGTACCACGACAAATTTCTCGTCTACTCTGCTTTGATAATAGAAGTATTTTAAAAAAATGCATCATAAAAGCGTAAATTCTTAATCTATTTGTTTGAATATTAAATGAAGATATTTTAAAAACTATAGTTTTATAAATGAATAATATTTCTCTTCTTTTACGGAACGGGACTAATTAAATTTTCTCCAAATTAATTTGGCGTTTAAGAATTTGCGTCAACACATCCCTTAAAAAATTCCAAAACTTGGGCTTCCTGTGTCGTATCTCAGTTTTCAAAATGGCGTACAAACAGAGGTAATGTTGTAAAGATGGCTTCTTTCAATTTCTCTTTCAGAAATTTTACTAAAGTTTTCATCCGAATTTCCAATTCTAGGGTTGCTGAGTTTCAGGCTGCACTGAATGCACCAGTCATTAACATGAGAAAACTGCGAACTCTCTGTTTTAATGGTAAGTAACGCTTGCAAATCTATAAAGTTTGAATTAAATTCCAAATTAAATATAGGATTATGCATTCCTTTACGAGCTTAAACACTTTCTTTTCTCTGATTATATTTATATATTTAAATATCTTTTAAGCTTCATTCTTTAAATTTACAAATGTTAAAAGCTTTATTATTTGAGAGGTTTCCTTCAGATAAAATATAAGCTTTAAAGGGTAACTGTTTTGCAAGTTCGGGACCAAGACGAGTTTATATTTTTCCGGGAGATTAGTCGTAATTTTGTTGGATACACATGACTCGTCTTGTCGCTTTAGAAAACTCAAAACACATTTTCATTTCCTCTGTTTATAATTTGGGTTTAAAGTGATACTGAATATAAATTTTGCTGTTTATGTGAAAAGTACTTACAGAACTATAACAATTAAAAGATCTGCCAGGAAGATGACAATCTCTCTAACGAACTTTATCTCTGAAGATAATGTCTTTGTTTGAAAATTCTGGTAATTATTGATATCCTGAGAAAATCCTTATCGCTGGGTTTTAAATCATTTGACAAAAGCCAATGAATCTTATTATCTGTTACAAAATTAATGGATGTTTCACACTGACCACCTTGTGCTGTCAAGAAAGAATGCAATTGATTATAACGTGGGATTCAGCTGCTGGACATTTTTTTCATGAGAAAAGAAATGAAGTAAAGTCAAACAAAGCAATTGACATTTTATCCCAAAATCTGTGGTACCCCTCACATCTCCCCCAACCCCATTTTTCCCCAGTCTGCAAAATCCAAGTTGTTCTGTCAGTTACTCATACTCTGACAGATCAGCTCAGAGATTTTTTTCCCCTGCTAGTGAAGTCTCTCCTCTTTCTTTCAGAGGGAGACTCTGCCGATGTAGAATGTTTCCTTTGATACATTGCACAAAGGAAACCAGTTTTAGAAACCGGTTTTGAGCTGGGTACATTTAGTGTGCATGAGCAAATGTAACACACCTTGGTGCCAAGCGTTGTTTGACAAGAGTGACTGTCAAAATCATGACAGCGTTGCTAAGTTATGCCACGCAAGCGAGACAAATATAACGCTCTACATTGGCAGAGTCTTATTTTTCTCACTTTATCAAAAGAAAAGGAAAATAGGCTCTGAAAGCAGGGACAGGTTGTTTCAGGGTTGAATAAAATTGACATTTTTTGGTTCATTTTCTTAATTCTTTCATTCCAGGAATTCCTGATGTGTCAGGCATCCGTGCTGTTTGCTGGAAAGTAAGTGAAGGCTGTAATTGATGAAAGGAATGCCATCTATTCTGTCACATCATAATGTATTGTGAATTTTATTGAATACTCCTAAAATGGTTTTTCAGGTCCAAATTACATGTTAGGCCCCGTCCACATGTATCCGAAAATTTTTGTATCCGCAAATTTTTTTTTTCAGATATGGGGTGCGTCCACACGTGTCCGGAAATGTTTGTATCCGTATCTGCAAATTTTACGAAAACGGATATGTGTGGACAGTTAAAACGATTCAAATACGCTGTGTGTGGATGCAAACATTTTCGTATCCGCAAAAAATAATTTGTGGATACAAAAATTTCCAGATACATGTGGACGGGGCCTTAGATATGCCAAATTTGAGGTCGTCCCATAGCTTCATAGATCTGAACTGGAAATGCCTTGTGCTGTTCTGTTTCAATCTACCTGTAATGAGAATTTTATTCCAGAGTTTATAGAAAGGATGTTATATGAATTCAGTATTGTACTTTTGTATTGATAGTTAATGCTGGGATATCTACCTCCAGAACGAGAGACATGGAGCACAGTTTTATCAAAACAGAGGTAATGGTCAAAACCAGACAGTCTGGTTCTCACCTGCCTCTAAGACTCTTATCAACAAGAGGATTGAGGATGCATTGAGGATGGTGATGTTTAAATGATGACATAAGCACATTTTGAAGACAGTTTTTTATGAGTGTGGCATTATATTGAAATTTTATTATTTCATCGTTTAAAATGTAAATTTTGTTATTTCATAACAATGAATGTAAATATTGTAATGTTTGTTGACATAGGTCAGTTTATCAACAGTTTGTGCAGGAAATCATCATAGATGAAAGCCAAGGTCTTCAATCTGGCCCAGAGGGAAAGGACACACACGTAGACCATGTATGTTGAACTATTGTACATATGAGCATTAAGCCCAAGGTGGTGGGTGATGGGCAACCCAGGGTGAAATGACATAAGTTTACCACTCCTGGGTGGACAGCTTGATGCCTCACAGGCCTTGCGACGCAATTGATAAGGCAGCCGGTTAGCACGGGCACTGAAGATGGTTGTCACCAGCATCTTCAGTGGATCTTTTACGTCTGCCTTATACAGGGTTATATAGCGGGGGCCTACGGTTTTAAGTCCTTGTCCGAGAAGACTTGAAGGTCTAACTATTTGCAGATATAATTACAAAGGCAGCACCTTCTCCTCAGTTATTTTTCCCACACAACAGACTGACGCTCTTACCAACTGAGCTAACCAGATGGCGGTCCTGAATGTGTTGTAAATGAGAAATATTGAAAATTTTAATGAATTAGTTCAAGAATGCTGATTTGAGTCATTCTTGTGTTATAGCCTTTGAATCCAAACCCAGATAGTTGGTGGATGGGATATTTTAAAGACAACGAGATACTTTTACAAATAGACAAAGATTGCAGGTAATCAAAGCATTCTGTTATTCTACTCTAACTATAAACACTTGAGTTTATTTTATTTTTATTTGTGTAAATATACTTTCATTTTTTTCTTTCTCTTTCATCATTTTTTTCTCCTCGAATAGTTTTAAATTTATACACTTTCAATACATGTAACTCGAATTCTATTCTTTTCCATTTATTATCTGATTGGTTGACAAACTCGAGTGTTCACAGTCAAAGTAGAACAACAATAATGCTTTCTATTCTCTATAATTTCATGATTTCAGTTTTAAAATGTTCTTTTTCATTTAGTTTGATAGGCAATGATTCAATTCAATATTACACATCCAATAGAACTATTTGGTGTCTGGCTTTGCCACTACTACTAATTAAAAAAACTCATCTATCGTACTAATATTTCATTGGCAGAAGGGAAATACCAAACACTTTGAATTTTACTGTCCAGGCTGCATATTTGTGAAAATGGGAGTAACAGAGTTGTGATTTCTTTTAATGGCCACTTCCCTCTCTTTGAACCCTGATCAACCTTAATAGTTTGATGCCATAATCTGTTATTTTATTAATCTTTAAATGATATTTTTTCATTGTTCTAGGAGGCTTTTGCCAGACATATCATTCTTCCAAATTGCAACCAAGTATCCCAACAAAGACATGATAGGTCTGTGATATAAAGATGATCAATGTAAAAGTAACTCCTACTTGATAACGAGGTGGCCATCTTGCCAGGGGGCAAAACAAAACAAAGATGACGGAAAATACATAGAGTTTTGTGTGTTTGTCTTTTTTTTACTATGGGTAGAGGTGATCAATGTTCAGTCTTAATTCATCTTCTGTTGTATTCTTTAACTTGTAGTAACCTGTTAATACCAATTGACGTCATTACTGCAACAAAGCTTTATTTGCCCCCTGGATGCCCATAATGCCTAGCAATCCATTGGAGATGGCCACCACACTGTTGAACTAGTTCATTCTGTTATCTAGTCTATTCTGTCGGAAGATTAATGGCTGACAGATGGTCTAAGGACTGCAAAGCAGCAGACTAATGTGTGTCCAATAGTCAATGTTTATATACTTCAACTATTCTTTTGAACAAAACAAATCGACTCAACATAAGTGCAAACTGGTTGAGTGTGAAACAACTTTAGTGCCAAACCACTGAATACCAGTCAGTCTACCCACCCAAAGACTTCATAATGATATTGATTCATTAGTTCAATTCTTTCTTCTTCTTCATTATAATGGGTATTTCTTGTGTGTGCAGGTGATGACAAAGACTTTGAAACACTAAGAAAAAGAGTTCAAAATCAACACCTTGAGGCTTCGCATGTGAATACAAGTAGAATGGGAATCACAAATGTAAGTTTCATTGCCAGACGTATTTTTGACCATGAAATTCTAATCAGAAAATGCTAACCAAAAATTGTTGGCTCATTATTCCTTTCTGGGAATGCAGTCATCTCAGCTGGCCATTATATGTGGCATCTCTAAGGGATGGCTTTCTAGAACCAGTGATTTTCAGTAATCTTTTTTATATTTTCAGGTATGTACAATCAAAAAAGTTGCAGCAGAAGAATACAACGTGTTAGAAAAGGGTCAAGAAGCACATTGGGAGGTATGTATCAAGGTTAAAGATCATTAGGGAATAATGAATTTGGGTGAGTATAAGAGAGGCAAATTTGGAGGTTTGTATAGAGGTGGATGCTAGTATTTTGGGAAGCACGGGTGGTGTAGTGGTAAGAGTGCACTCTCCTCTCACCAAAGGGACCGTATTTGAGTCCCACTGGGCTTGTCATGTGAGTAGAGTTTGTTTGTTGCCAGTTCTCTAATAATAAATAATTTTAGTAAAAATACACAGATTATTATAGAAAATCTCGTGCGCTGATTGGTCAAGAAACTCCCACTATCACAAGATAATCACCTCGAGCAAAAATTCAAAATGGCAGCCAGCCGCTTTGTTGCTGTTACCGGAAAAAAATACCTTTCATCTTCTTTTTTTTGAAAGAATCACCAGTGTACATATACTAAAACAATTATTTGTCTCAGGCACATTGATTATTGGGGAATATTTACCTCACTGCTTGAAGACTCGCATCTCGGTAAATATTCCCCAATAAACACTTCCCCTTCAGCGAATAATTGTTAAATAATATAAAGTTCTTAACAAATGCATCATACAATATCTCGATGCTTTTTACAAAAGGACCAGACGAATATCAAGTTTGTGGAAAAAATTTCAAAAAAAGTCGGTTACTCCTGGTGAACAGGCAGTGCTTTAGTGCAGATTTAAACTCTGTAACTGAACTCGAGTACTTTAAAGTGCTACTACGACGAAAATCGCTCAAACTTGGATTCAGCTGAAACTTCCTAAAAATACTCTTTAAAGGTCCAATAATCACTGTATGAAGTGTTTTCTTGATATTCAGGACGAAAGCATGATATTTTTACGATAATTTTTTGGAGTCTGTGACGTCATACACTCAACATCAAACATTGCTACATATATTTCTTTGTAT